GCACCAGGTCCACTTTGAGAGTCACAGACATTTAGAATCTCAACATGCATCAGCCCAAGATCCAGTGAATCAGTATGTCTTACTTCCATAACTCTTTTGGGTTTTATCAGATTATCAAAGAACAAGTGTAGCTTCCCATCATTTTGAACAAGGAAACACACTTGCTATTCTTGGCTCTACTGTGAATTAAACCTAGTTTTGAGCTTGTCAGGCAAGGACTTGCCCACTGAGCTATATCCATGACTTCCTCTTTTGACCTTTGTTTCAGAAAGTCTCACTAAACTGCCCAGGCAGGCCATGAACTTGAGATCTCTTACTTCACTCTCTCTGTTAGTTAGGATTATTGGCTTACGCTAGGAGGCCCATCTGTGCTAGCTAATTCTGTATGCTTCAGACTGACAGGAAAGTCTTTGTGTTCACACTCTGAATGATGAAAACAGTCAGTAAGTGATGTGGGTAGTGGCCTACAACAGACCTCGGAATGGCTCAAGGCAAGGAGTCTTTACTTGGAGTTCCTAAAGTACTCCTTGCATCCTCTCTGTGGTAAATACCTCACAGGTGAAGTATCCCCAAAGGTATCCTGTTCTTTAGAAATAATAGACTAATAGTCATTATTTGGACAACAAGATGCTGATTGACCCTGGTTAACTGAAATAGTTCAAGGTAGCAGCCTAGACTTCACCGTCCCCGAGGGCCTGAGAGCCACATGGATCACAGAGCCACCTCTGCCTATTACTGTTGGAGACAGGGTCGAGGTCAGCCATAAGCCAGGCCCCATGAAACAGAGTCCACAGCAGTAGGGAAGAGGGCTTCTGGCTCTGGGCAGCAGGCAGAGTTCATACATTCATTGCTTCACCGGGCTTTATTTCCTTGGGGAGTTCGCCACCACTTAATCACAAAAGCAATAAGGGCTTCTAGTTTGTTCTTTGCTGTGCCTAATCAGTTGTTCCAGCTGCCAATCACCAGCCGTGTCTGTAAGTTCACAGAAAAGCCCCCTTCAAGCTTTGGAGACAGCACTGACCCCCAAGGTGACACGACAATGAAAGCCACCCCCAGGGGCAGTCTGCGTCCGGTTGATGTGGTCACAACAGTTTTGTTAATATTGTCTGAGTTCTGGAGGGATCTGTTCTCTTCAGGCTTTGATCGGTGGGCCACATTGTACAGTCCATTGGTTGAACTGTGGAAATAATTTTGAATAAGTTCAGAAATAAAAATTTTTCTTTTCTTTTGTGAATAGTCTTACAGTTCCACTCCAACATGGAGATTTTCTTCCTAAGACTGGCAGAGCCTGTGGGTTTGTCAGTAAGTAGATGCTGAAGCAGACAGGTCTATGAGAAGCCGGGAGATATTCAGACTTAAAACATCAATAAAGATTAGCACCTGCCTTGTGCAAAGAAGGTAGTGGAAGATTGTGTTCAAAGGAATGAAGAAATAATACATGGAGGCTATAGAACTTAAAAGTATATTCTAGATGTACGTCTTGATGAGGATAGGTGTTTCTGGAAGTCACTGTAGATAGCAAAGATATTTTTCTGAGCCATGATAACAGTTTCTTTGATAACAGCCAAGCCGCTGCAGCCATAGCTAGCTGACGCCACATAGTTGTCCTTTGTATGTATGTTAGAAAGACATGCTTGTGTCTGTATTACTTACCGTCAATTTCATTTCATTATTTTGGTCACAGGTAATATCTACAACTAGCAGTGATACCCTGGATGCTGCAGGCAGGCTGTTCTCTATAGACAATGATTAATAAGTCATAATCTCTCTCTCTACTTCTCTTGCCATCTCCTTCCACTTCCCATACACAGAAGCAAGTAGTTTGCTTCCTTTTGCCAAAAAAGTGATCATTTGTGTCCTGTAGAAGAAACTGTTCAAATACCTTTGAATTCAGACTTTAAATTGAAGCCTGAAAACCTCCCTTTCTTCTTCTCAAGGGATCCCTGGTAGAGAAGCTTCCCATGTCAATGTCACGAATCAGCTATAGTTCGACAGGAAAGGGCTGTGGACTTGTGTGTGACCCTTGGAAGACCCTACTTTTGTCCCTCAGCTCCGTGACGGTTAACCTCAGAAAACTTACCTAATACACCCTCTCCACCTCCTCCTCCTCCTGGCCTTTGTAGTATACCTTCATAAAGTTTCAGAAGACCTTTCCTCAACTGCACCACAGAGCCTTGGCTTTCAGCTCCAGACTCTTGGATGCCCTGAGGTTAAGATGTGCCTGCTTACAAATCTGAGAGAATTAATACTACCCTGGGGCAATCTTTGATCAGAAAGGAATAGAAATTGTTAGGCACAATTTCTACCTCTATATTAGAGGCCCAAGATAGATTTTTATTGGCATTTAGATTGTTTGCCTTTATTCATTCAGAAAGCAAACATGAATTAATGCAGTTGGTAATAACAGATATGTCTTGTTTTATAATTTATCCCAGGACCAAGTTCTGTGTCTGCCATATGGTACCAATCCACAAATATCTGTGGAATCATCAGCTCCTTAGAGAAGTCTGAAAAGAGGCCATGGCTGTAGCTCCAGGATAGCTCACTTTCTCACTACACACTGTGTTCTGGGTTCAGTCCTCAGCAGAGGAGAAGGAGGGAGAGAAAGGCAAAAGTTCTAAACTAAGTATGTCACAGTAGAGGATATGGCAGAAGTAGTCAAGGAGAAACTGCTGGAATAAATTCCAGATGTGGTTGTTTATCTGCCTTGGGTAGAGCCACAAATGAGTGTGTTGAACTGTTGGAGCAGTGTTAAGAGGTCTGCATTAGTAAACCTTGGCATAGTGATAGAATCAGTGCATACTTGTGCTTCTTTCTCTTCAAGCTGAAACCCCGTCAAGGACAGAAATACACAAATGGTGGAGCAGACAAATACATAGCAAGCATACCATTTAAAATAAATGTTGGATGGATGGATAGATGATGGACAGATGATTGAGTGATAGGTGTTGGTTGAGAGTCCTTCATCAAATCCTCACATTCAGTGACAGGCTATAAATGACACCCGAATTGCCTAGCTATTTAATTGTATCTAATGTCAAATCCAACTAAAGCAGTTACCATAGACCTTTGGGAAGCACCCTGTGTTCTGCTGAAGCATATTGTAAAGCATGTCCAACCAAGTTTCCCCATTGCCCACGAGGTTGTAAACAGTGAAGGCAGTTCTTCCCTTGTGATAAACATAAACACATACAACAAAAGTACCTCTAGGCGTGACTACACGATGGGTGCGTTCAGCAACAATTATGAAATAGAAGAGTGCTGTTGTCTCTCTACCTAAAGCAGAGCTTTTTAAAGGTAGCTGTGTTTTCACTGTGCTTCTGTGACCTACTTATTCCATTCATTTTTAGAGCAGTATATAAAACCCAGGCTTCATGCTGACAAACACCAAGGTTGAGACTCACTATGGCTATAGTCAATCCAAGCAGCCTTCTCCCCTGGGCCACGTTATTATGGGGAATACAGACAGACTTGTGGTTCTCTGAGCCAGCAGGGCACAAATGAGGGCAGTGAGTCATAAGGTGACTCCAGTGACTTTGCAGACGTGTAACTTTCATGGAAGCTGACACACACAAGAGAAGCCCGGGCTTGACTTTTTGAACCAGTAAGCACTTCCTGGCCTCGCTGCCACTTCAGGGCTTAAAGGACTTCGGAAGGGTGAAGGTTTCTGAGGAGAACCTGACAGAATGCTGATTTACCAGAAATAAACCCTTCAAATGAGATCACACCCATGTCAGTAGCTTTTTGAGCGGGAAGATGGTAATTGTGTCTCTTCACATGCCCCTGTAAGTCCTTGAACTCCTATGCCATTGGATTAGTCTTTGGGGGGCTGGGTCATCTGGGGTCTTAATTCTATCCTGGTGAGGTTGGAAGAAAGTGATACTGGTCTAAAAATACAACTCCCTGAACTTTTCAACCTTCAAATCTTTTTGATAATATGACTTTCTTAATCCTGAACTTGATTTCTTTAATTAAAAAAAAATCCATTTGTTCTTTGATATTAGTAAAGTTCAAAAGGGGCAGAAATGGGCATAGAACAGAGAATTCTGAATGCCGGGAAGGAAGTGAAGGAAAGTTGGTAATGATGTTGTCTGATTACAGCCTAATGAGATGTCTGCCGAGTAGGTCCCCACACTAAGGCCCTTCCTCTCTGATAGACTTTGAAAGTGACAAGCCCTGGTTATCAGGTGACATCTTACCAATTAGCTGATGTAAACGGGGACATTGGCAAGTTTGAGGTCTTTTACAGTTCTCAAAGGTGAAGCTGCCTGGAGAACGAGGCTCTGACTCACCCTCCGTGTGTGAGTGTGTGAGGGGCAGTGGTGGGGACAGACCCAGAGCTGTGTAAGAGGACTACCTTTGCTTACTCTCTCATTTTGGATAAAGGCCTCTTTGGAATGAGAGCAAGAGGATTCATCACACTGCCAAGGAAATGTCTGCAGTGTATCAGGCTCTTAGTTCAGAGTATAGGACTCTATGTTGGAGCTGCAGTCAGGTGCGCTCTGTTGTCTTCGTGCTGACGTGTGGCAGTGGCAGAGAGAGCAGGGCCTGGCCCACAGCATCTTACTGCACAGTGAGAAGATGTAGAAGGCCCGTGCTGAGGCCCTTACAATCAGCTGACTGAACATGCCACTGTGCAGCTATCATCCTCTGTGACTGGAAAACACACAGAACCCTCTGCATAGAAGCAAACAGCACAGGATTAATTGTAATGACCAGACAGAGAGCTGGCAGGGCACACAGCACTTCGGAGGCGAAGGTGAGCCTGGAGCAAGTTCAGGCAGAGCTCCTGAGATGGTGGTGAAGGCACAAGAGCCAGAGAACCTGTTCCGGCATAGAAACAAAAGCTGTGTGTATCCAGAAAGGAGAGATCTGTTCCCTAAAAGGCACTCAGAGAAAAACAAACAAGCCCCTGAAATATGCTTGCTGTCAGCTTTTGGTGTTTCAAATGTGGGCCTCCTTCAGGGCACCGTCTCACGCTACTTCTCTCTTGATTTCAGCTCCCATTTTCGCCAGCAATCATTCAGCCCGAAGTGGAACAGCTGCTGGGGCCATGCCACCCCCACATCCTGTCAGTCACCCTTCTCCGGGACATAATGTACAGGGGAGCCCCCACAACCCCTCCTCCCAGTTACCTCCACTCACAGCTGTGGACGCAGGCACTGAGAGGTAAGGCCATCTGTCTCTCTCTCATAATAGGTGTCGCCGCCAAACCTCCCTCTGCCGAGAAGAGCTCTGACAGTTGCTGAATTTTATTAATAATCTGTTGGTGGGTTGAGTTACCCAGGGGTGACATTTTAAAAGTAGCATACCCCAAGTATGTGGACCAAATATCTCATTATCTGTAACAATTTTTTATATGCATAACAAACGAAATGATACTGGCAATCAACAGCTCAGGTGTCAGAGCTGGAAGATGCATCACAACAACCCACTGTTGTCACCTCTCCTCATCTTGTTTTGGGACTCAGTTTCCAGTGAGTTGGGGAGCTCTCTGGGTAGGAATGGTACCATAGTCACACAGATAACAATACAAGTTTGTGCACTAGGCAGGTTTCTATTATTGGCAGAATGGCTGGGAACAAAAAAGAAGAAACATGTAAGTTGGTCTTGGCTCATGGTTTCAAAGAGCTCAGTCTATGGTCAATGGGCCCTGCTTTGGGCTCATCAAGGTAGGAATATGTGGCAGAAGGGGTCTCTTCACCTCCTGGTGCCTAGGAAGTGAAGAGTCAGAAAAGAACAGCATTCTCAATTGCCCCTTCAAGAGCATGTTGCCAGCAACCTAATTTCCTTCCACTAGACCCCACTTCCTCAGAGTTCCACCCTCTGTCCCAAGAAGAACTACAGGGAGGTGCCAGGGCAATGCCTCAACATACAGGCTATGGGCATGTTCGTCTCCCAACTGTAGCACCATGGGAAAAGATTATAAGGTGACAGAAGACATTATGTGACTGATCAGAAAGCGACTGTTCACACAATACCTTTGGTTGGTATCTCCCTCATAAGGAATTTCTGTGGGAAAAGCATCCTTAAAGAACTCTATGTTCCATGTTATTTTTACTTCTGAATTCTCCAGTGGCTTTCGAGGTTTGGGTCTGAGGGTGGGTCCTCATGCCTCTGCTTCCCAAATGCATCTATTTCTGTGAACCACAAACCCAAACAGTTTCTCAGTGAGCAAAAGGAATGGTGGTATAGGCGTCAAGAGAAAAGAAATTTTTCTCCACATAGGTAAAGGCAAACAGCATCCAGAGGCAGTAAGGTAACCTGAAAGATCTGGAGGAGATGAGGGCACACAGCAAGCATAGACTGTTGACCCTTCAGAGTAACAGCATGCAGGATGCACACGGTTGATGGTTGAGTGATAGTGGGCTGGCTTCAGTGGAGCCTTGTGTTTTAGAGGAGTTGCTTCTACCCTGCTGGAAGCAGATAACCATTGTTAGGAGAAATGCACAGTCAGATTGACATTAGAGAAGGAGGAGTCTGCATAAGAAAGGCATTTGCAGTTGAAGTGGGAGATAGGGGAGGTTACAGAGTGAAATTGCAGATTTCTCTTGAACACAGTGGAAGTAAGAGAAGAAAGAATTCACTCAAGAGCTTCATTGGAAGGCAGACTTGCTGAAGAACAGTGGAAAGGAGCCAAACCAATACCCAATTTCTCTCTAGAAACTGTGTCTTTTAACAAATTTTGGAAAATAAAGAGAGTGGGAGAAGGGAGGGAGGGAGGGAGAGAAAGTGAAAGAGAGAGAAGGAATAATAAATCAAGTTTCAGAGTTGACTTCCGTGAGGTGGGAAAAGATCCATATGGATGTATGGGATCACTAGAAATGTGAGTCAAAAGGTAAAAATTATTTCAGCAGTCCTGTGTACATGGTAAAGTGTAGTCTACCTTGGAAGGACCTTAAGCAAAACTGTGTCAGTGGTTGTCACCCCTTACATTCATTCTCACTGGAGACAGGAAGTCTGTCCTTCAAGGTCCTGATGCATTCCAGAAGCTGAGAAGAGCTTTTGTGCAGTTTGCAGGTGGATTAAAAACAGTGCTCACCATAGCATACAGTAGGCCACATGTGGCTTCCTCGACAAACATGTGGTACCTTGGTATGAATGACAGATTACAGTTGAAATCTAGAGAGTGTGCAGTGATCAATAATGTCAGTACCATGGTGGGAGAAAGGAGGAAGAGGATGGGAAGACACAATAGCTCCAAGGGAGTGAAGGAAAACATGTTGCACTTTTGTGGGTTTATATTGCTGTATGCCCTTGCCACAGGGTGTGTATCCCGACCCACACCTGACTGACTGGGCAAATGTGAGATGTGGGCTATCTCCTCCAATCAGGTTACAGAAGAGGATGACATGAGGAAACCCTGAATTATTCACTATGTTTGCACTAGGGACCCGGATGAAAACATGGAGAGGAAATGGGTTTACCTTCCGCCCTGGTTTTATACATCTTTGCTCTGTTTGCCTGGGAAATCCCCCAGTAAAAACTCCAGCAGTTTTCCTAACGGAAACAGGTTGATCACACGTTGCGATTTTAGTGGGACACTGGCATCTTTTCCTGCTTTGCAGGCATTGATTCATCATTTACTTAGCTTTAGCTCATTAATAAAATGGGCTGAGTCACTGTCAGAAGTTAGAAAGGGCCCACCGCAGCTGCCAATCTAACATCAAGTTCTTTCATCCTGACCATCATAAAATAAAGTTTTCTCAACTTGATGAGAGTCTGTTTGTATTTTTAAATACTAACTGAATGACACATAATTTCAGGGATTTGAGCGGTGCCATAGACCAACCCCTGATGTTGATTTGAACTCCTTATGGGAAGTAGTGTTTTACTATGTCATGTTGGATGAGCCACCCGTACTTTATGTTGATGACAGTGTCTTCCCTTGAGGGGAGCTCAGTGTCTCTGGAAATGTTAAATCATTGGGCTTTACATGTAACCATTACACCAAATATTTACAGGTGGCCATTTTGAAATGGAGAAATCTTAGTAGTCCCAGTGATAAGTCACCTAAGTTTGTGTCACTCATTCTTCCAAGAGAACATAAGCTGCCTCTCATCCTTCTGAAGGCCACAAGCTTTGCACAGTCTGTAGTATCAGTGACAGGGAAGTGGGCTCTCCACAACGGAGGAGCTTATAAAAGCTTTTCTGGGCCGCATTTCTGAGATTTCTGAGACACAGAAGATTAAAAGTAATGAAAGGATTGTGTCTCTTTACAGAATGTATAGTCTTGCACAAGAATTAAGGCCAGAAAAATGTTAGGAATCATTGTTTTGGAAAAAGTAGTCAAATCACCTTCACCGAATAAAGACTGCCAGTTTCTTGAATCCCTGCTAAGTACTAGAAACCTAGGGCTTGTATGTCTCTGACTAACCAAAGCTAATGCTCATAGGGACCATGTTCTAACTCACCACTGGAAACTTGGTACCATCTGCCTGGATGCTGAAGGTCCAAGAGTCACTATTTGTCCTCACTGTTTTCTCAGTAAAGCTCTCTGTCCAGACAAGTCATACTGTTCACTCTTCTCACTTAGCTCACTTGTTGTGGTGCCTTAACTCAGCCTTTCTGACTATTGTATGCAGCCTTCAGCTTAGCTTGGTTTTCAACCCAGAAACCTCTCCTATGTCGGGTCAGAGACACATACCCCGGGGAAGTCCTTGGTTCTTAAGATGTGTTTCGTAGATCTACCAGCTAGAGCTGAGTTCGATTTGGGAGGACAGAAGCCTTGTTTCCTCATAAGCTTCAGAGTACTTTGCTCTGAGTTCCATGCCATGTACTGAGGAAGCTTTAACAAGGGATAAAGAGCATTGAGGGGAATGTCTAGGGAACAAGAACCCACTGTCCCATGGAGGGTTCTCATAGTGTTCTCTTTGTTTTTGGGTTGGGTTGGATTGGGTTGGGTTGGGTTGGGTTGGTCAGAAGGACAGTGTCTTGATCTTAAATGCTTCTGCCATCTTATACCTCCTACATACTTTGATGCAATTCCTAGGTGTCAGTCCACCACACATTTAGGCATACACACATTGCTAAGAGGTGTAGTACTTTCTTATGGCCTGGTACTATTATCTTTTATTTGCATATGTAGCTTCAGAATACCTCTCAATTAGACCTGTTGCTTTCCTAGTCCTGCTCCTGAGCAAACAGGTATCTTGGTGTCTTCGTCTACATAGCTTCTTCAGAGCCTCTGTCTTCTGAATGTCCTAGTGTATGTTCAGTACTCATAAAAATGTAACAAGATGTTAAAGTTTATCAGGATCTATCTTAGCCCTGGGGGCTCTTGAGTCCATTGAGTCTTTCTCTGGGCTGGTAATTATGAAGCATGAGAAATGGTGGACATTGAATACACCATGGGAGACAGCCAAGCCAATAGGCCATAATAAATTACAAGACTAAAGAAAGGGTGGTACAGTGACTTTGTAGGCACAGAGGAAAAGCATCTATCCTTAAAATGGGGTGGAAGCCATAGAGGAAGCAGTATCTCCCCTGAAAGTCAATGGTCTATAGGCGTTAAGAGTGTGTACAAACGTCAAGGACAGTAACAAGCATGACTGTGACGGAGCATGTCACTGAGAGTTACCCAGTATTAGCCACACTGAGTTTGAGCTTCTTGTTTGCCCAATAGAAAACCATGGTGACTGTAGCATTCATACTAAATGTGCCTGATCTTCTACAGAGAATGCTGAATATCTTCCAGAAGAAATGACAAGGAACAGGAAAGTGTTTCATTTGGTCCTCAGTCAGACAAAGGCTGTTCTTTGAAACTCTTAGACTCAAGACTGTGGAGTTGATGTTATTTTACTTTCTAGTACAACTTAAAAAGATCATTTTGTTCTTTGCCATTCTGAGAGTATATGCTACATAGTTACAGCTTTTCAGGTCTTTGAAGAGTCCTCAAGTGTAAAAAAAATATTGAAAATTATCTCTATGTTAGAGAGTAACAGGTTTGGGACGAAGAAGCATTTGTTGACCTTCCTTGTCTATTACATTAGAGGAAAGTTGACTCCTGCTACAAGTTCTCCACATGACTGTGTACATCCTCACACAGATACAATTTACTTAGTGCTTATCACTGTGTGACCCCTGATGTGTATGGCAGATACTTTGTCATGTTCACAGAGACATTCTAACCCAGAGGGCAACAAATAAACACAGAGAATAACTAACAT